CCAATATGAGCATAGATCAACTGATATAAACTATACAAGATTACGAGAACACGCCGTTTTGTCAAAAGAAAAATCGATAAAATTTTGTGGCCGAAATTACGCCAACGAGGAGAGGATGAATAGGGAATAAATTCTTATGAACAATTGCTTATGGGTTTAAACTTCTCCCATTCTTATTGCTTGGTTTATTTTCATTTTCAACATCATATTCCTTTCTCAATGATTTGTGTGGAAATATATGCTGTCTATCATTCAATTGGCAAGTTCTCGTGGTGGATAGCTACTTGTTTATGTTCGTTTTCCTGCTTGATATCTCATGAGCGGGATTGGATACTCGTAGCTGATCGTAGAATCGTAACCATGTTTCAGTTTTTAATTAGAGGAAGGAAATCGATATCTCACGATCGGAATTGGATACCCGTATATGATCGTAGAATTGTAACCATGTTTCAGTCTTTAACTAGAGGAAGGAAATCACTATGGAAGGAAATCGATATCTCACGATCGGGATTGGATACCCGTATATGATTGAAGCATCATATTCATGTTTTAGTTTTTTAACTAGAGGAAGAAAATCGATTCAGGCTAGATTTCCACCCACTCGAGGTTGCTTATCTACAACCCAAATACGAATGAGCCGACTGACCTGATGTTCGGGTATTATAGTTATAAAGAAGACTTCTCCGATAATTTGATAAGCGTTTGATTTTTTTTAGTGCCGAATATATTCATATATTCCATTAAATACAATATCAAAATTTTAAAAAATAAAAATAAAGAACAAAAGGTTTGATCGTGTCAGGTCTAGTACGATCAGTAGGCTACCAATCCCACTAGCGTTCTTCTTTAGATTATGATTCCACTGGTAAACTATGACTAACTGTGGAATGTCGTCACGTCGAGTACGATTAGTATCAAAATTTTTTAAAAAAAACGCTAGAAGGAGGGCACGTCGAGTACGATTAGTATCAAAATTTTAAAAAAAAAACGCTAAAAGGAGGGCTTGAACCTCCGACCTTGTGGTTAACAGCCACACGCTCTAACCAACTGAACTATTCCAGCACATATGAATTTTTTAATCAAGCCAATTATCTAACAAATTAATAAAAATCAGTTTCTTAATTCAAGGATTAAGTGTATTCCAAAAATAGTAAAACCAAAATTTAATTTAATTTAATTAAAAAAAATAGAATCTCTAATTTTGTGGATAATATTCACGTGCTCTGATTAAATGAATTTGGTGCGATCGTAGCAGATATTGTCGTTTTTGGATTTTTTTTTCTCCGACTTTCCCTCCAGATTTTTAAAACGCGTATGCGAGGGAGAGGTTTTCACACCCTTATAACGGTTGTTTCGTTCTCCTCCCCAACCGATGTGAGATCTCATAAATAGTGAGTCAAACCCTCTTCATCGATAGAATCAATTTGAAGGAAGAATAGTCGGAAGTAGTTCGTCGAAGCTTCGTCGGAAAACTGGTAAGTTAAAGTTTAAAAAAACCCATAAATTTCTTTCGTGAAATTCTCTCTAGCATGTTTAACCATTTTGTAAAGAAATCGAGAGATATTTCGGTCCAAAAATGCAGCAAAAGAAGCAAATCAAGGCTTATACAAGTCATGGTCTAATGTTCGAGTCAAAGCTAAGAAGAGCTAAATTAATAAAAGACTAAAGAGACGCCAAAACTTTCACTATATTTTTTTAATTATATAATTAAAATATTTAAAAAAAAATCCTTTTGTATTTGTTTAAAAAATCCTCTTAAATTTTTTTTTTGTAACGACCCAAATCCACCGCTACCAAATACCTCTCCAACGAATGTGGGACATCACAATCCACCTCCCTTCGGGGCCAGCGTTCTCACTGGCATTCATTCCTTTCTCCAATTGATGTGGGACCCCTCCAAATCCACCTCTTTTGGAGCTAGCGTCCTTACTGACACACTGCCTTGTGTCTAACCCTTTAGGGAACAGCGAGAAGGCTGACACATCACCTGGTGTCTGGCTCTCTGATACCATTTGTAACAACCTAAATCCACTGCTAGCAAATATTGTTCTCTTTAGATTTTCTCTTTCGGGATTCCCCTCAAGGCTTTCAAACTCGTCTACCAGGGAAAGATTTCCACACCCGGTGTTTTGTTCTCCTCCCCAACCAATGTACGACATCACATTTTTAAAATTTTTAAAAACAATTCTAAAAAATACGAAAATAGTACTTTATTTCAAAAATACCCTTAAACTTTAAATTTTTCATTAATACTAAGTCTTTTTAAAAAATTCAAAAATACTTTTAGTTACTATATTTAAAAAAAAAAAATACCATAAAATTTTTAAAACGCCATTAACCTCCTTTATCTTTATAAAAGAAAAACAATTTTTTTTTTAATGTCGACCTTTTATATATTATCTCTAAAGGTTTTTTTTTTTTAATTTTTAAAAATTTAAGGAAATTTTTTAAATAAAATATTAACTATTTTTATATTTAAAAAAAAAAAAGTAATTTAGGATATTTTTTATTTTTTTGAAAATTGAAAAATACAAGTCAACGATATTTCCGCATGATTAATTATAAAGTGATAACGGTATCATGGAAAATACTTTAAAAATGTGCAATCATTGCATATTATTAAATATTATAATTATTTAATTATTAAAATTAATCATTGACTTTCCACGTCTCTTCAACTATTCTTTAACTTTTAAAAATTTTAATTTTAATTTATATTTTATTTCAAAAATACTTTTCCACTCTTAAATAATTTTAAAAATACTTTTTAATTCGCAAAATATTTTTAAATTTTATTAATACCTTTTATAAAATCTTAAAAAAAAACACCTTTTATTTTTTATTAGGTAATTAAGATATATTTAAAATAGGGATTAAAATTAAATATTTGAAAGTATAAAAATTAAAATAAAGGCTGATATTTATTTTTTTATGAAATTAAATTAAATATATATATTTTATTTATTATAAGATATAATATTTTAATCGAGTGAGATGAAAAAAAAAAAAAACTACAAAATATATAATTAGTTAGTGGGTTTTGCATCAAATTTCCATTTCATATATATTAATGAGTCAGCATTCCCTTATTTAGTTAACCCTAATATATATATATATATTTAAATTTTAAAATTTTGTATATTCGATTCGAGTTATAAACAAAGGATAAAACGGGTTATGTGACACCCAAATAAATGAATGATCATGAATAAACCAAAACCACGTCGAAACGAGAGTGATCTTGAGGATATGATGGTCGAGAGATGCTTTAAAAAATTGATAGTTACTACCTATGTCAATAACGTGCATTTTTCTTCTCAGTGACTCGATCGTAAAAACTTCAAAGTTAAGTGTGGTTAGTTTGGAGCAATGCTATATTGGACGACCGGGAAATAGCACTGGACAAACAAAGAACTACATATTCTGACTATCAGAGCCTTTTAAAGAGGTAAGGTGTGATTTAAGGGCGATTTAGACTTGGAATGCTATGAGCCCCATTTACGAAAGTCTAAGCTACGGTACAGGATAAACAAAGTTTAAACAGTGCACTTCATGCCGAGATTCATATCAGAATTTGAAATCTAGATTCAGGGTCTATTTGACTTCACGACACGACCACATTACCTACTTGTCTTGAAATATTGGGAGTGAAGATTATCTCGGTAAACGAACACGAATTCATGCTAAAAGACAGAGTAACTATCAGACCCTGTCTATTAGATTATTAAAATTTCCATTTATGGAGGATGAGGTGAGAGAATAAGCAAATAAATTTAAGGTTATGAGGAAAATAATGAAGAGACTTGTGGTTGAAATGAAGACACGTGTCATCATATCAATGGTGGTGATTGGAATTCAGTGATGTGGACACCCAAGTCATTGGTTTGGTTTTCTATTTATTAACAAATAATGTCCATTCAAACATCTTCCAACATGAACAAATAATAAGAAATGGATTTATTATTATTATTATTATTTTACGACCGTTCAATAATAAATGGGCAGATATTCGAACCTTTAATCTTTAAAATAAATAATAATATCAAAGTCGGAACTAGATATGTATAATATCGAAACCAGATCAATGTTAGATTAAATGTGTATAATATCGAGATCAATGTTAGATTAAATGGGTAGAGATTCGAACATCTAATCTTTAAAACATGTATAATATTGTAAAACAGATGTATCGAAACTAGATATGTTATCTAATATTTAAAATAGGTGTATATTATCGTAAAACTGACGTATAATATCGAAACTAGATATGTTAGATTAAATTGGTACGGATTCGAACATCTAATCTCTAGAACATGTGTATAATATCGTAAAACAGATGTATAATATTGAAACTAGATATGTTAGATTAAATTGATATGGATTCGAACATATAATCTCTAAAACAGATATATAATATCGATACCAAAAATGTTAGATTAAATGGGTAGGGATTCAAAGATCTAATCTTTAAACAGATTATAATATCGAAACTAGATATGTTAGATTATACGGATAGGGATTCGAACATATAATATTTAGAACATGTGTATAATATCGTAAAACAGTTGTTGTGATGTCCCACATTGGTTGGGTAGGAGAACAAACTACCCTTTATAAGATAAGAGTGTGGAAACCTTCCCCTAACAGACGCGTTTTAAAAGCCTTGAGGGAAAGCCCGAGTGGATCTGGGTCGTTACAGACCAAAGAAGACAATATCTGCTAGCGGTGGATCTGGGACGTTACAGTTGTATAATATCAAAACTAGATATGGCATTTGAACATCTAATCTTTAAACAGATGTATAATATCGAAACGGGATATATTAGATTAAATGGGTAGGAATTCGAACATCTAATCTTATCAAAGTTTTGAAATTGTGTCCACCAACCTGTTGAATATTAAACCGTGTCTATTAGACCTGTAACGTTTTCAATAATATCGAGTCTAAATGGTCGGGTTCGAAACATTACAACCAAATAAAGACGAAATTTCAACAAAACTAAAATAATAAAACAAATACCCTTCTTAACTGCAGCATTAAAGAAACGTTTAGTACAAATAACAAGTAGTAAAAGACAGTTCCATTAAGAACAATACATTGACAAAAATTCATGAGCAGCTCAAATGTCTCTCATATACAAATTTATATGTGTAATTGAAGAACATTTTTCAACTTTGAATAGAATTCCCGAGCGCCTCGAAGGATCGATTAGCTGGTATGAACGACGCAGGTTGCTTGGTAAATATTTTTCAACTTTGAATAGAATTTCCGAGCGCCTCGAAGGATCGATTCGCTGGTATGAACGTCGCAGGTTGCTTCGTAACTGCAGCTAAGATATCAGCATAGCCCACAACTCCAACCAGGACATCGTCATTTTCATCCTCAGTTACCCAGACATGGCTTGCCCTGTGAGAAAGCATCTGAGCCATAACAGCAGCCAATGAACTTGTAACTTTACATGTCAAGGGAGCACTTCGGCCACGGTACATGCTCCGGCTGATCCCGAACGTGGGGCTTGATGGGTTGAATCCGATACTTCTACTGCTGAATTTCTTTGCCCGTGTTGCGCCACCGGCATTGGCAGGGTTGTTTTCGTCGACGTTAGCATTAGCGGATAGATCCGGGACCATTCGAGAGTTCATGTTGTCTTCTACTCCCATTACAAACTGCCCAGCAGAAAGATTAGCTAACGCCCAAGCAGCAGCCAAGTAATTGCATTTCCAGAGTTTGGAGGCTGAAATCTCTCCAATGATCTTGTATTGATTATCATGCATGTTTTCGATAACAGCCACTGCAATCGGGTCATCAGGAAGCTTATGAGCGATATCGATTGCAGGAGTCGAGGCATCGATAGAGCAGTAGTTTGGGTTGATGACTCCGAGAGTAGAGATGGAGGATAGAGGGAGTGGTGCAAGGGCGCCGAGGCAACCGATAAGGAAACGGATGACATCTTCTCTTGAGAGACAGCAAAACTTATCGTGTCCCGTTGAAGACGAAGATGGTCGATTAGCATTTACTACACTGAGGTTATGGCTGCTATTGCCAGGGGCATCAATGTTCTTCAACCACTTACCATTATAGAGAATGGAGAACCGTTTGCTCATTCCTTTCCATACCACGCTCTTTCGGATTAGGAGACGCCTCACGCCTTGCTTCATCATTTCCAATGCGTCTATCAACCTTTTTCACATGGACAGATCAAGAGGTTCAATCATTTGAATGTAAGAACAAATTTCTTTCATGCAGTTTCTAAGGTCTTTGAGAAACCATAGTCATTGCACTCAAAGATACACGATGAGCAGTCATAAGTATAATTTTTTTCATGAATCGAAGACCAACGAAACGAGTCCAAGCTGGAAAACTATTATCAATCAGCTACTCTAGTTACTCGAGTCAAAAGCATCGAAAACGAGCTAAACCACCCTGACTTCAGAAACTAAGAGAGAAACATTAGACGGTCCTACTGATAGAAATTGATAAGAATCTACCTTGTGCATATGTAAATAATTTTGATCTCAACATGGATACGATATTTCTCGCACACATAAGTTGGCAGTAGCATCTCATCATTAATTGGTCTTGGAGCTACACCGTCATGCTAGGCTAAAGGTTTTTGTTATGAAGTTTGTTCGACTCCAAAGGATATTCTATTCCGGGATACCTTATGTTTCAAATTCAAGTTTGTTCTTCGTTAAGCGGGTAGCCTCACAGTAGCATCTCATCATTAATTGGTCTTGAAGCCACACCGTCATGTTGTGCTAAAGGTTTTTGTTATAAACTTCATTCGACTCCAAAGGATATTCTATTTCGGGGTACCTTACGTTTCAGATTCAAGTTTGTTCTTCGTTAAGCGAGTAGCCTCACAGAAGCATCTCATCCTTAATCGGTCTTGAAGCTACACCGTCATGCTACACTAAAAATTTTTGTTATAAAGTTCGTTCGACTCCTAAAGATATTCTATTCCAAGATACCTTATGTTTCAAATTCAAGTTTGTTCTTCGTTACGTGGGTAACCTCACAATAGCATCTCATCATTAATTGGTCTTGAAGCTACACCGTCATGCCACACTAAAAATTTTTGTTATAAAGTTCGTTCGACTCCTAAAGATATTCTATTCCAAGATACCTTATGTTTCAAATTCAAGTTTGTTCTTCGTTACGTGGGTAACCTCACAATAGCATCTCATCATTAATTGGTCTTGAAGCTACACCGTCATGCCACACTAAAAATTTTTGTTATAAAGTTCGTTCGACTCCTAAAGATATTCTATTCCAAGATACCTTATGTTTCAAATTCAAGTTTGTTCTTCGTTACGTGGGTAACCTCACAATAGCATCTCATCATTAATTGGTCTTGAAGCTACACCGTCATGCCACACTAAAAATTTTTGTTATAAAGTTCGTTCGACTCCTAAAGATATTCTATTCCAAGATACCTTATGTTTCAAATTCAAGTTTGTTCTTCGTTACGTGGGTAACCTCACAATAGCATCTCATCATTAATTGGTCTTGAAGCTACACCGTCATGCTATGCTAAAGGTTTTTGTTATAAACTTTGTTCAACTCCAAAGGATGTACTATTTCGGGATACCTTACATTTTAGATTTAAGTTTGTTCTTCGTTAAGTGGGTAGCCTCGCAGTAGCATCTCACCATTGATTGGTCTTGAAGCTACACCGTCATGCTACGCTAAAGGTTTTTGTTATAAACTTCGTTCGACTCCAAAGGAGATCCTATTTCGGGAAACCTTACGTTTCAGATTCAAGCTTGTTCTTCATTAAGCGGATAGCCTCAAAGTAGCATCTCATGTTAATTGGTCATGAAGCTACACCGTCATGCTACGCTAATGGTTTTTGTTATAAACTTCGTTCGACTCCAAAGGATCTACTTACATTTTAGATTCAAGTTTGTTCTTCGTTAAGCGGGTAGCCTCACAGTAGCATCTCATCATTAGTTGGTCTATAAAATCATTGTAAAATTACTGTTCTATAAGAGATCAGAAAAAGAACATAAAAAAGTAAATCCTTAAATGCACTTTACTTTGCTAACAAAAAGTTGAACAATCATCCAATTAATATACTCCAAATGCTTCAGATAAGAACAAAAAAACAAAAAACCAGACGATCAAAACAAAATCTAAAGGAACAAATGCTAACCTTGTTGCAGGATCAACCTGCCTCAACAATGAAGGGTTCGGGACGACGACCTCCGAAATTGGGGTCTTCATTGCCCTATCCTGATCCTCTAGATTCTCCGTTCGAGCCAAGAACGCGACAATATCCAAAGAAGAGAGAATTCCCACAAATCTCTGCTGTTTCATTTCACCATTCTCAATCATGCCCACATGAGTTTTTCTCTTCCAAATCGGTATTCCACACTCCGTCGACTCTCCGATCCCCCTTATCGCCGTTTCAATCGTCTCCGTCTCATAAAACTCCGCCATCTCCGGCTTCCCCACTGTCAGATCCCCAACCACATGATACAAAAAAACTGATGCCATAACAACTCTTCACCTCTCTAAGATAAACACAACCAAAATCAAATAAAACCAATCCTATTAGATCAATCTTAAACACAAATCTCCTCAAAGAATCCAAGATTAAAAATCTACACTAAACGGAAAGAATCTTCACTTCCTCTTCGATTTTGTTAGGAATCACAACTCTCCACACAATGATATTGTCCACTTTGAGCATAAGCTCTCGTGACTTTGCTTTTGAACAGATTTAAGATCCAACAGAACAAGTATTGAATAAGACAATATGAAATTCGATTCAACATATAGCAACAAAAAGAAGGGTGTAACGAAAAGTACCAAGGTTCGCTTCGATTCGAGATTCGATTCAATTCGATTCAAGCTCTCAAACTTCGCAGGAACCGAACGACGGAGCCGAAAACCCCCAACAAAATGGGCAAAAGTTATAAAAGAGAATGAAGGAAGATAAGCAATAAATCAAACCTAGTAATAGGCAATCTACGAAGACTCAAAAACTCGGAGCAAAGAGAATCCGCCATTGATAACGAAGAACAAGAAACGAAGGAAGATGAGAAGAAGGAACAGGGTTAATGCCCATGAAAAACCGAATCCACCAAACAACAACAACAACAAAAAACAGTCACTGAGTTGCTCTGTCAATCAATCAACGAAGAACAATTGAGAGAAGAATCTAAGAACATGGAAGACGAAGACGAGAAGAAAAAAAATGGGAATCGAGAGATGAATGATTGAATAATTGAATTATTGAGCAGAGACATAGAAGGCAAGAACAGGGTTGGCAATCAATGAGTGATGTGGAAGCTTAAACACATGAATTTTTTTTTTTTTTTTCAGGGAAATAATTAGTGATAATGTTTATGAGGAAAAAAAAATTAAATAGGAAAAATCCAAAAAATGAATGATTGATTAAATAAATAAATAAATATATATTTTTTTAAGTCCTTTTCATATTTTTTTAATATAAAAATTAATTTGTCGAGTTGTTTCCTGAAAATATTTAGTGTAGTCCCCGCTCTATAAATTTTGGATAGAGTGAGGACCGAACTAAAAATTTCAGACGAAAAATTATTATTATTATTTTTTTTGGACTAATTTTAAGATTTATTAAAAATATAAGGACTAAATTTAAATATATTGAAGGTACAGGGTATTTTAACTGGATATATTATTTACTTTTCTAAATTAATTAAGCCGTTGTGGCAATTTTTATTATACGTTAAATTTTAATGATGATGGGTAGGAAAATACTGCCCGGAAAAGAAATTTTAAAAAAATTAAAAATTATTGATTTTAGTATAAAAATAACTAGCTGACGAGTAATAAGATTGTCAGATGAATTATAGTGTTAGTTTTACTTCGAACTACTGTCACGGTCATATATCTTCAATCTTGCGGTGTCGTAATCTTGACACGCTCGCGACCAGTCTCTAGGGACATTCAAGCCCCGTATTCATTTTTTGCCCAACTTTGTGGTTTTATCGGAACATCGACAAGGTTTGTCTTCGCCAACTGGACATCGCTTGTGCAGAATTCAAGCTTATTCGGTCACACACGTTGTTCATGCGTGCATGTTTATTCGTTGCAACACAACAACGTTGCATCTTGGTTTCTAACAACACGACCCATTTATCGTGATATTGTTCTATGTTACGGGACACAACAGCTATCTTGACTTGTGTCGGACACATCTGTTGGGAATGGTCAAAATTGATAATTATGAAAATTTGAGGGGTCTAAACATTAAAAATATATAATTGGTAAGAGAAAAAACAAATATAGCCTTTCATATTAAGGGAAATTAATGACATGAACTATTTTGAAGCATTTCATAGATCTAAGGGGTTAAATTGCAAATATTAAAACTTGTGGGGACCAAAAGAGACTATTCAAAGCAACCAATGATAGGGACTATTTGGAAGCATTCATAATTCTAAAGGACTAGATTGCAAAATTCTAGAACTTGTTGGGACCAAAAGAGACTTCTTATCAAATTCGGGACCAAAGGGACGTTTAAGTTCGGGGTATTTTACGCTCGATAATATTGGTGTTCATATAACCCGAGAATCCGATCAACCTGAACTACCCAGTCCATACCATAAAAGTTGGGCTGGGTTAAAATTTTCGGGTTGGGTTGAATCGTGAAAAAATAAAAAATTTAGATCAGTTAGCGAGTTGACATTTTTCTAATCGAGTCAACCCGACCAATCAAAATATAGGGTTACCGTTCATCCCAACCCTACCTTACATTTAAGATTATTACGAACACTAAAAATATTTTACATTTGTAACAGAGCTAATGATATGTTGTGACCCGTAAATATTTTGATATTTGAGTTTTATGAAATTTTATATATTAACGTAATATGTTTTAAAAAAATTCGACAACCCAATAAAAAAAAAATGAAGGAATGAGTCGTGAATTCAAGTTGGTCAGGTCACCGACCCAAATTTATTATTATTTTTTATTTTTATTTTTTTTGTTTTGTTATTCTGAGTTATATATACATATATCTATTTTATTTTTATTTATAATTATTTTTTTATTATTTATTCTTACGCAAATTATAAAAAATAATTTTTAAATATTTGGACGGTAATTTTTTCAATAATTTAAAATCGAGTCGTAAATTTAAATTAAATGTTTAAAAATAAGTAAATACATATTTTAATTTTACTTTTATTAAAAATAAAAATGTAAATAAGTAACCCGACCCAAACCAAATGGACTGAAAAAATTTATAGTTGAGTTGAGTTTGATTCATTAGTTAATAAGAATAACCCGAACAACTAGGTTAAATCTAAACAGTACCATAACCCGACCCAACTGAATTCATAAACAGTCTTAAATGATTCAACAATCGAACTATCTTCGTTTTTTTGTTTTGAATCACACGCTCGACATCAACACAATTTGATTTTGTCATGCATATACGTTGTTCATATCAGTTTCATAGTGCGGTCGTATTTTAGCGGAATATTTATTTTAAGAAAATTACAATAATTTTCAAAAAATAAAAATAGTAAAAGGAAATAAATACTTCATATTATAGCAACAAATAATTAATTAATTATATTTATACTTTTATGAGAAAAAAAATATAATTATATTATATTTTAAAACTAATAATTAGATTTAAGTAAGTCATTAAATAATATAAATTTAAAAGAAAAAATGAGTTTTATATCGTGCTAATAATTTTTTCCTATTTTAATATTTCAAACATTTATACAATAAAATAAATAATTATATTATATTTTGTGAAACATTTCAAATTAATAATTATTATAATAATTTTAAATTAAAATACCTAATTAAATATTTTTTATAATGACCCGACTTTTAAAACATGACTATATTGAAACTGCTACTGCACCATGTACTTGCAATTTGTCCCCGACCCAATCAACCGAGAAGTTCAAAATCAAATGTGTTAAACTAAATCTATGTAAGGTGCCCACTGCTAACAGATATTGTTCGTTTTGATTTGTTACTTATTGTCGTCAGTCTTATGGTTTAAAACGCATTTACGAGAAGGGGCCTAGCGTCATCGTTGGTACAATGCCTGTTGTATGGCTCTAAATCATTTGTAAACGCCAAAGTCCACCGCTAACAGATATTGTCTGCTTTGGCTCGTTACTCATCGCCGTCAGTCTCACGTTTTTTCAAACGTGTTTACCATGGAGAGATTTCCATTCCTTTATAAGAGATGCTTATTTCTCTTCTCCAACCGATGTAGAATCTCACAATCTTTAACTTTTAGCTTATTTTGACTCCGATATTGTTCGCTTTAGCCCGTTACTTATCGCCGTCAACGTTACGGTTTTAAAGCGCGTCTACTATAAGGGGCTTAGTATCCTCGCTGGCACACCGCCTGGTGTATGGCTCTGAATCATTTGTAAGAGTCAAAATCCACCGTTAGCAGATATTGTCTTATGGTTTAAAACGCGTTTACTAGAAGGGCTTAGCGTCATCGCTGGTACACTGCCTGCTGTATGGCTCTGAATCATTTGTAACAGTCAGAGCCCACTGCTAGTAGATATTGTTTGTTTTGGCTCGTTACGCATCGCCATTAGTCTCACAGTTTTTCAAACTCGTCTACTATGGAGAGATTTCCACACCCATATAAGGGTGCTTATTTCTCCTCTCGAACCGACGTGGAATCTCACAATTCGCTTTGGCCCGTTACTTATCGCCGTCAGCCTTACGGTTTTAAAACGCGTCTACTATAAGGGGCTTAGCATACTCGTTGGCACATCGCCCAGTGTATGGCTCTAAATCATTTGTAATAGTCAAAATCGAATGCTAGCAGATATTGTTTTATGGTTTAAAACGCGTTTACTTGAAGGGGCCTAGCGTCATCGCTGGTACACTGTCTGCTGCATGGCTCTAAATCATTTGTAACCGTCAAAGCCCACCACCAGTAGATATTGTATGCTTTGTTTCGTTACAAATCGCCGTCAGTCGCACGTTTTTTCAAACGTGTTTACTATGGAGAGATTTCCATACCCTTATAAGAGATGCTTATTTCTCCTCTCCAACCGATGTGGAATCTCACAATCTTTAGTTTCTAGCTTATTTTGACTCTGATATTGTTCGCTTTGGCCCGTTACTTATCGCCGTCAGCCTTACGGTTTTAAAGCGCGTCTACTATAAGGGGGCTTAGCATCCTCGCTGGCACACCGCTCAGTGTATGGCTCTGAATCATTTGTAATCGCCAAAGTCCACCGTGAACAGATATTGTATGCTTTGGCTCGTTACGCATCGTCGTCAGTCAAATGGTTTTTTAAACGCGTCTAATATGGAGAGATTTTCATACCTTTATAACAGATGGTTAGTTCTTCTCTCTACTCGACGTGGAATCTCACAATCTTTAACTTCTAGCTTATTTTGACTCCGAAGATTAAAAATCAAGGTTTCGAGCATGAACTTTGGCAACCTCCTCGTTTAAGTTTTATTATAGTCGATAAGAGTGTTTAGTATCGTATTTAGGATTGGAGTTCCCAGTTCGCTTAAGTACGGTAAATATAGTCAATAGACTGATAACCCGAACAACCTAAATTTATAAATAAATTTAAGGGTTATTTAAATTGACTGTAACTAGAGCAATATGTATTTGTAAATATTTGATATTTGAGCCGTAGAAAAAAAAAATAATAAAATAATAAAAAAACAAATAAAAAAAATAAACCCCTAAACCCTTACGTCTTTACGTGCTCAACTTCTTTCTTCTTCAAGCCGGTTCCTCCTCCCTCTCAGCAGATCAGTGCCGCCGCTTCCGCCGCCACGTCCCTCCGCCTTCTGCCGCTTAGTACGTAAATTTTTTCTCTGTATGTTGTATCATTCTCAAAGTGGAGGCAAGAACGCCTGCAAAAAACCCTAATTTTTTTTTTCTGTTCGTTTTATAATACTTTTGCTCTGAAAACTACATGTGAACGGAAGAAATCAATCTTATTTCGTCTCTCCCCTAACCTTTCCAACTGTAAAATCTACTGTTTATCGTTCTCGTGTGTTAGTGATTTCAATTTTTTTTCCTCTCTAGAAATTTGTCGGTTGTGATGCGAATTTCTCTGGTTTAAGGTTTGTGTGTTTGGGGTGTTATTTAAAGGGGCGTTCGCTTAATTGTATCTTCGAATTTCATCTATGATTTATTGACTTTGGGTTGATTGCTTTTCTGATACTGGCTTGCACAATTGCTTTATATTCGAATGTAGGGAAGCTTATTTTGTTGTAATTGCAATGTCGTCCTTAAAGAATGCGGTTCCTAAACGGCCTTACAAGGAGAGAGCTCAG